TCAGAAGTGTGTGAAGACTTAACATATGGCTTCCAATGTAAATGTGGCCCTGGATATCGAGCCGATCGGGCCGACCGATCTGCATGTGTGCCCGTTTGTAGTCAAGGTTGTGTTCGAGGTGTATGTGTTCAACCCAACAATTGTCTCTGTGACTTTGGTTAATAATTCACACATAAATCTGTTATGTAGGTCAGCATTATTAATGCAACAACAGCTGACTTTTCAACTGGAAGTGGCTGGTCTCGATCTGAACCAATTGGAGGCATTACTGCCCGACTTAAAGGTTCACTTCATCCCCCTGATTGGTGGAAAGACTCTCATGAAACTCTTCGAATGTGTGTCAGCCATTCTTCGGCTACTTTGCAAGTAGCGCATCTGAATGCATCTGATCAGCCTCAACATGCCCATTTGGTGGGAATCAAATTACATGGGAATGACTGCAAATTGTTACTTAATTTATGCAAGTTCTCAACATGGTGGATTTTGTTCTACAGGAAATTGTGGGAAACTTAAGTGCAGAGCAATCAGCTTGTGTAAGTGCCACTTGGGAACCTGGAAAGCCAGTTCTACTTCATGATGGAATTTTTCTTGTCGACTTTGAGTCTCGTAAAACATTGGATATGCATCATCAGTCTAAAATGGAACTGCAACACAATCGCAGTCAAGAAAGTGCAAAGGTAGTATCTGTTTTAACTTTAAAACTTCACATTTTTAATAAAGGAAATTATTTACAGTTGAACCAGACTTTACATTAATGTTCCTTTTCCATCTGGCTAGGTTTTTACTTTTGAGTATCTGGCTCCATATGAAAATGGCTCATGCTGGCAGTACACAAATTGTCTAGCCTGTTTGACTGACTCAGCTTGTGGGTGGTGTGAAATAACTGCTCAGTGCTTGGATCGCCATCTTGATGAAACTGAAGCATGCCGAGAAAAGGGAGCTGGGCCAGATGAGTGGCACTACCTAACATTACAGCCATCTTCTTGCCCTAACTGTTCAAATTACATCTCATGTGACGCCTGTGTTTCCTCTGGATTGTGTGAATGGTGGACTGATGATGCAAGATGTGCTCGTCGTGGGAGAGCAAGTGAAGCAGTCCTAGATACTGCAAACTGCCCTGCACCATGCCATGAACGGACAAACTGTTCACAGTGTCTGGAAGAAAGAGGTGTGTGCGTATGGTGTGAAGCTACACAGGTCAGTAGAAAACTTTAAAAGACAAATAATAACTTTGACATCATAATTTTTTAAATCTTAGATGTTCCCTTATAATTTTTCTTATGTTCTAACAAGAGTGTTTGTTTGTGTAGGAATGCTTTTCATTTTCTGTGTACACTTCGGAGTACCAGTTTGGTATTTGTCGTGAATGGTTAGACCAGGCATATCATGGAGTAGCTGCTGGTCCTACAAGTGCTGTTGCCGTACCATCAGGTGGAGGAGCACAGCAGTGTAAGTGGTGTGGGCGCCATACTAATTGTTCCTCTTGCGTGCACACCCTTGGCTGTGGCTGGTGCCATTCAGCTGATAACCCAATTCAAGGGGTTTGTGTGCAGGGAGATTTTAACCAACCTCACCAAGGTATGAGTTATTTCTGCTTGTTGGAATTTAAACTATTCATATAAGTAAATACACATACAATGAAAAGAAAAAAAAACTTAACTCAACATTTGCTTGTGACACAGAATCATGTTCTACTGCCTTGGAAAGTGAAGGGAGTGATGTTGGAGAGGCGAGATGGGCGTATGCGCAGTGCCCTGACGTTGATGAGTGTGAACTTCATCTTGATGACTGCCATCCTGATGCCATTTGTACAAACACCCATGGATCTTATTCATGTCAATGTAAAAGGGGGTTTAATGGTGATGGACGAACAACATGCACCAAAACGTTAGTAAAATCTATCAACTGTAGATAGTAGTTTGTGTTGATTTTATTCATCTAATTTCTTAAAACTCTTTTGTTGTTTCTAGGTGTTTTTACAATTGTGTACATGGATACTGTGTTGGTGCGCCAGACTATTCCTGTAGATGTGACTTGGGTTGGACTGGTTTAGATTGTAATACAAATTGTGGCTGTAATAATCATTCCACTTGTTCTCAAGGAGTTGGTTTATGTGATCAATGTCAGGACTGGACAACTGGAAAGTTTTGCGAGTTTTGCAGGTTAGTAATTGATGTAGCAAATCCTCTTTATAAATTATGTTTTTTTATCTTGTTCTCATTGCCAAGCTGCTTCTTATTTCAGGGCTGGAAGTTATGGAAGTGCAACATCAGGACAAGGTTGTCATGGATGCAATTGTAATGAACATGGTAGTGAAGCTCTTGGAGTTTGCGACTTCCAGACAGGTGCCTGTTTCTGTCAAGATAACACTATTGGAGACAACTGTGACAAATGTAAACCAGGCTATTATGGAGATCCAAGGTAAATTTTGTCATTTTTTGAAACTAAATTAAAGTCTATGTGAAAGTTTTACTCTCATTGTACTGTTTTTCAAAAATTTCAGGAATGGGGGAATGTGCTACTACCAATGTATGGCCAGAGGTGTACTTTCAGGCACTGATCCTCAAGGTTTAGGCAGTCGCCTTGCCCCGATGAGTCTTCAAGATTCCCGAGAAATAGGACCTCCTACACGCGAGTGCCTCTGGATTGTCAGTCCATTTCATATGGATAATCGTTCCAGCAACCCTTCGAGGTGCACCATTATTGCTGACCTTAGTTGTAATGCACCACTCTCTACTGTTCCTTTAAAATTGAAACTCACATGATTGTCTTTATCTTGTAGCATTATCCAGCTAACAGTACATGAGGATATTAGAGTTCCATGTGAGGAAAATAATGTGTATGTGTATGATGGACTTCCTGATTTTGTTTCATCAACCCCAAGTCATCAAAGTCATGTACTGGGTGTATTTTGTAGTCAGGATACCACATACCCAGTAACTGTAGAGGCAACTTCAGGTTGGCACAATTTTCATCTATATACTTCATAAGGTTGTCACACTTGCTCACCTACTTCTGAATTTTCGTAATTTGAATTTCTAGGAATAATGACCATCCACTATAAGCAAAATGATGTCACGGATGGGTTCAATGCTAGCTATGTTGTTTTGGTGTGCCCTGATGATTGTCCAGTTAATCGGACATGTGTGAATGGCCAGTGTATTTGCCCTGAGGGCTGGAGTGGACCTCATTGTGCCGAGCCTCTCTGTCCAAACAATTGTTCTTCTGATCTCAAACAAGGAGTGTGTGACAAGGTAGTCCTTGTGCCTTGATACAGTGTAACATATTTTCTTTCTGAATATGATAGGCTTGCTAATATCGATGTCCTCTCTACACTTTTCAGAGCTACTGGAGATGTCTCTGTAATCCAGATTGGGGAGGTGCTGACTGTTCCCTTCGTTTACTCCCATCTTACTTGGTGTCGACCGAACTTTTCAATTCAGCTCATCTATCTGAAGCGGGCTCTCTGGCACACTGGCGGAAAATGTTGCCACGTCTGGGTCACACTCTTAGTGCGGATCGCAGAGGCGCTCTCTGGATGTTTGGAGGGTATTCATTATCTCATGGGCCACTTAATGATATTAGATTGTTTGACACTAAAAACAACACATGGATGCAGGTAATATTTTTGGTTTACATTGAAAAGTACCTTTACCTCAACACTTTTGTCAGGTATCTAACACTAGAATATGTATGAATTTTATGAATCAAGATTACTGTTGACTCCACGAGCGATGCCAAAATGCCCAGAGGCCGTTATTTTCATGCTGCTGAGATAGTACAATCTCACAGGGAAATTTACATTTATGGTGGCCTTGGCTCTAGAGATGATGGGTATAATTCAACTTTGAATGACACTTGGAAATTTGTCTTAAAAAGTCAACGCTGGATTCATGTACAAGTATGTATCAACGGTTGTCAGAAAATAAAAATAATTTGAACATGATATAACATGACCATGAAGGTCCACCGTCAGATTACTTATCTTTTTTTTTTCTTCTTTCCTTTCAGTCTGATGTAGGCCCACCCCCATTGTCTGGACACACTCTGACTTTACGTAAGAGTGGTGATGTGGAGAATTTAGTGCTCATTGGGGGTTTTAGTCCTTCTGTTGGCTTTTTGGATGTTGTCTGGGAATTTAATCTAGAAAAAGAAGTATGGAGTATATTGAATACCACGGGTGATCGTCCTATTGGTAAATATCTCTCCAAAAATTTAATGAAGCAGTACCCTCATTCAACAAAACCTGTTAATAACTAAAATAATTTTTAATAGGTTTATATGGACACAGTACAGTATTTCATGCACCCAGTCAAAGCTTTTATGTTTTCGGTGGATACATGTATGTTGTCAACCATACAGTCATATCAAACAAGCTTTTTGCTCTGCACTATCCCAGTAGAGTTTGGTCTGTGCTACCACCGTTTGAGAACTACAACCCGTCTGATCTACATCTGGTAATTTTCTAGAAGTTTTTCCATTATCTTTTGTTCTTTTTTTCCCCATTTATTTATATATCTGTTTATTTATTTCTCTGTCAACTAATTAACTTTTTTAAATGTTGGTTTGATGAACAATTATCTTAAAATTTCTCTGTTTTAGCCAAGAGCCCGTTTTTTGCACTCTGCTGTTGTGAAAGATGATTACATGCTTGTTTTCGGGGGAAGATCTTCTCCTCACAATACAACAGATACTCTCATGGCTTATCTATTCACCTGCAACCAGTGGGTCCGTCTCATTTCTAAAGGTAAAAGAAATTTTTCAAAATCAGATCTTTGTTTCTCTATACTTGTGTTGTGATTTAGTATGTTAAAAAATTTCTATATTCTAATCTGTATCAATGATTTGTCCTGCAGATGTCAACCTGATAGGCTTTGTTCCTCCTACTACCTATGCACATGCAATGGCAATGGATCCAGAGTCTGGTGCCATTTACATAATTGGTGGCTTTGATGGTGGTATTGACAGCCATGTTACACGCTTGACACTTCCTGATGACCTGTGTGCTCTATGGCCAGGCAAATGCCATCTTCCTGGCTGTTCTTATTGTGCTGTAATTCGGTCGGGGGGTGCTCCTAATTCAACATATTGTTACAACAATGCTCGGTTGATGCCTGAAGAGTATGTTGTTATTGCACTTTTCATTGACCTTGTGCATGTTTGTAGCTATTCATTTTATCACTTTAATTTCAATTTTCCAGGTGCTCTAGTGGCAATGGTACGATTCGAACCACTAATGGTGTGGTATGTAATAGGAAATGGATATCTGCAAGAAACTGCACTCAACACAAGTCATGCTCTGAATGTTTGGCGTCATGGCCGTCCCATATTGAAGAAGGACAGGTTTGCATTTTTTATCTAATACTTAAATTTTTTTTGAATTTTTTTGAATTTTTATTTTTTTTATTTTTTGTTTTGTTGTTGTTTTTTTTTGTTTTCTTTAACAATGCTGTTTATTTTTACAATCTTTAAATTACAGACGTGCAAGTGGTGTAGCAATATAAATAAGGGCAGCTGCATTGATGTGACCACTGACTGTAATCAATCTGAGCCTCGCTCCACTATAGATGTTTCAGAGTGTCCAGAAAGACAATGTCCTGCCTCAGATTGTGATCAGTGTAGAGCTCAGGATAATTGTGTGTGGACCAGACAGGTTTTAATTTCAACTGATCATCGTCTCACCCTTGGGGTTGAACAAATGTATGACTGGAGTTGTGTTACTAAACATGTCAAGGATAGATCCAACATTCAGATTGGCACTGCTCCAACTTGTCCCAAACGCTGTTCAGAGCACAGACATTGCGATTCTTGCCTTCGGTCCCACGGGGCTGAAGGAGGGTGGCATGAGTGTCGTTGGTCAACTCAACTGCATGAAGTAAATAAAATATAAATTTCTCATTACAATTATAATCTAGGTTATAGTTTGTGGAATTTTTTAATGCTAACCCTTCTTTGCAGTGTGTGTCTCCCAGTTACCAAGCACTGTATTGTGCAGGAGGAGTGTGTGGGCTAGTACTTAGTGGTGGTAACACCGACCATTGCCCTGAACCCTGTTCAACATTCACAAAATGCTCAGAGTGTTTGCGTCATGCGAGATGTGGTTGGTGCTCCTTAGACTCAGGGAACAGCACAGGACGGGGTGTCTGTACTGAGGGTTCTCTGGGTAGTCCAGCTTTGGGTCCAGAACGTTCAACTTGTGATGTGCTTTTCCAAGAGATTCTTCCAACAACTTCTGCTGCACCAATGATTATTCAAGGTGAGTGCAAGTTTATGAAAGGCGTGCCCGTCATGTTATGGTACAGTTTTGTTCATATTAACTATAATGATGATAACTTATTACAGAAAATGACTTAAATGTGACTGAAGCTATTACACAGGCATCTTTATTCTCCTGGCATTATGTGGCGTGTCCGCCTGAAAATGAATGTGAAAATGGACATCACACCTGTGACCCTGTGTCAGAAGTGTGTGAAGACTTAACATATGGCTTCCAATGTAAATGTGGCCCTGGATATCGAGCCGATCGGGCCGACCGATCTGCATGTGTGCCCGTTCAAGGTTGTGTTCGAGGTGTATGTGTTCAACCCAACAATTGTCTCTGTGACTTTGGTTATGTTGGAGCAAATTGTTCCATTCAGTGCCAGTGTAATGGCCATTCCAATTGTGCCGGGCCCGACAAACTCGACCATTGTTTGGAATGTCATAATAACACTATGGTGAGTGCATTATTGTCGTTTTAAAGGGCATGTTCAAGTTTCTGGTAGTATCATTTTAATATTTTGTCCATCTTTCCACAGGGACCCCAATGTGAACGATGTCAACCCTTGTTTGTTGGGGACCCAAGTAACAATGGCCAGTGTGTGCCATGCATTGAGTATTGCAATGGACATACTCACATTTGCATCAATGACAGTATTTCGGCTCCTCCTGTAAGTATTACATGGTAACTGGACTCTCATAAAATTTTTCAAAACTTTGTTACTATGAATATTTTCCTTTCCTAGTCTGGCAAATGGTTTGATGTACCTCTTGAAGATCTAAAAGCATTCCTTGTTGAGGGCCCTACTACTCACGCACATTGTATTGGCTGTGCCAATCGTACAACAGGAGATAAATGTGATGAATGCATTCGTGGTAATTTTCGGGGATCAGAAGACCATAGAGACCCTTGTCGACTGTATGTAAAATTCAGCTTACCCTCTTCATATTATTCGTCTATGAAATTTTGGCATTTTAAATTGTCAATTTATGTGTTATTCTCTTCAGGTGTCAGTGCCATGGACATGGCCATCTCTGTGATCCTGTGACCGGTGAAAAGTGCAACTGTCAAAACAACACTGAAAGTGATTGTGCCCAAAGTGTCACATCGAAAGGGGGAGGGGACACCGAATGCTGGCGAAATCAGTGTTCTAAGTGCAGGGAATCATACATGGGAAAGCCAACAGACGGTCATCAGTGCTACAAACAAATGAGTGTAGACCTCAAATTTTGTTTGGATGCCAAATTGATTGGTAATTTTAACTTAAATCTGACTCCTCTTGCATTTATATTTTATTGCTTGTTTCTTGTGCTTGAATGTTTCTTCATGCATATTTATTTTTTTGATCTTTTTTTTTTTTTTAGACGAATGTAAACTGAAACCAAAGCCTTTGATGCCTGGGCAGACTGTGTTCTTTGCTGTGCAACCCCGCTTCATGAATGTTGACATCAGAGTGATGGTGGATGTTACGGACGGAGCTCTAGATTTATATCTGTCACCTCGTGAAGACACATATGTCGTGCACGTCAATGATGCCACTGGGGAGCATATTGTAAGTACCTTATTACCCTTTCCATGAAAGGTGTCATAGTGCTCTTGAATACGTCTTGGGGAAGTACCTGACCTGACCTCTGTTTTCAGATCGATATGGACCACAAGTACATCTGGCGGCCAGAGGAGTACGACACGTTGACCGGCGGCGTGCTGGTGTCCACCGTGGAGCTTGTCCCGGATTCCCTGATGGGTGACAATGTGACGGTGGACCGGCACCCGCACCCGCACCCGCTGCACGCCATGGGCCAGAAGTTCATTCGCCAGGAGCGGCACGCACATGGACTCACTTCCTTCGTCACCGTGAACCAGAAGAACACCCTGCTCGTGGTGCGCAACCTCCGCGACCGGCTGGTGTTGACGCTCCCCCAGGACCGGCACGAGCTGGGCGTGACGCGGTTCTTCATCGCGCTCGCCGCGCGCAACACGTCCGGCCCGACGCACGGCATGATCTTCTTCCGTCAGGACCAGCTCCACATCGACCTGTTTGTCTTCTTCTCCGTGTTCTTCTCGTGCTTCTTCCTGTTCCTCGCGGCGTGCGTGGTGGGCTGGAAGGCCAAGCAGGCGGCCGACATCCGTCGCGCTCGCCGGCGCCACGTCGTGGAGATGCTGCACATGGCCAAGCGGCCGTTCGCGTCCGCCACGGTGCTCATGGACGGCCCCGGGCCGCCGCCGTACGCCTGCGTCGCGCACTACAGCGGGGCGCTGGGGGCGCACAGCTCCGCGCAGGGCGCGACCGCGGCCTCGGTGTCCGGGCCCTCGCCGTCGCGCAAAAAGCAGCACCGCTCGGTGGGCGGGGCCGGCGTGGTCCCCGTGGCGGGGGCGGGCTCGCTCGGGGCGCCCCCGGTGCGCGCCAACAACGGGGTGGTGCCCGTGGCCGTCGAGCTGACGGACGACGGCGTGGCGGCCGTAGCCACGGTGCTCGTGCGCCTGCCGGGCGGCAGGGACGCCCCCGTCCGGATGGCGCTCGCCTCCTCGCTCATCCTCTTGTCGCGGGTGTACCCCACTAACGGGCGCGCCTTCCTCCGGCGGCGCAGCGCGCACCCGCACGCGCACTCGCACGCGCACGCTCCCTCTTAGCATCAAGGGGCCCCGGCGCCGCCCCACGCCGCCCTGTCCGCCGCCGCCCCCTCGGCGGCGCACTCGGCGCTCACACGGGGGCGGCGGGGCTCCGGGTCGCGGCATGGCATCCGCGCCCGCGGCAGGGGCAGGACCCCCGCCGCCCCGGGGGCCGCGGCGGGGCCGGGGCCGTTACTCATCACCTCTCTGTGATCCTTTTCACCCTCTGGGTATTTATTTACATTCCATTACGCAGCCTAGGTGCACAGACCGAGGCCTTTTTATTTGTCCAAGTGAGCCAGTGTGGGCACTGGCCATCCCTCTTCCTCTTCCTCAGAAGAACTGGCCTTGCCCCACCTTCTGATAGTTTTGATTTTGAATGATCTGAATGTATATATTTGTTATGCACAGTTTTTACAATTTTATGTCAGGATCATACAAGTGTCCTAATCTGTGTACAAAATTTTTAGTTTATAAGAATCTCAAGGATACATGTTGTTTAAATCGTAGAGTGTATTTCAATATATTTTTCTTTGTGATCTTAGAATATAAGTACTTAATGGTGTAATGTATAGTCAAAATTTGAAAGTTGCTCAACTCAAATTTTCACAATTGGTGGTGGAGCCTCCTCTGTAAATAGTGTACAAGGCTGCTTTTGTGTGAATCTTTATTTTAATTTTAAAGTATTCCCTTTTCCTTGTTATTCTTTTGAAGCCTTTCTATCTTTTTGTTAAAGAGGTCAAATGATATTGCATTTATTAATGTAGAGTGTTATCATGACAGTTGTTGCCCTGCATGTTGAGATGTCATATAATGTGCAGAGATGTGTGCCAAATATTTTTATGACATTCTGCTGCTTATCAATCGGTGCCAAAACTTAAATATCACCTGCTCAAATTTGTTTTTTTGATTTTGGGTTTCATTATTGTTATATCTGTGTTGAGCCTTTGTTACAACCCTTTTTTATCTTTTCGGTGGTTGACTTTTTTTTAAATATTAAAAACAAATGTATTCATATTTGTTGCAATTGGTTGTGTTCTATTATTGGCTGTATGATAGTGTTGTCTGATTTCTAGTAAACTCTCTGAACACTTTTGGCCCATTATTGATAAACATGGCACAGCCTGCATGCAGTATTAGATTGCAGTATTGTTGATGGTTGTTTTGTTGGAGTATATATCAGTACTTCATTTGAGCTGACTGTGATGTTCTGCCCTTCCCTCCTCTCTTTCTCTCTCTCTCTATTTGTAAATATAAGTCTACCATGTATGAAAGTGTAACATACAGTCTGAATTGCATTTCTTTTTATTTTGGATGTGATGTAAATGTCATTTTTGCCTTAAGATATTCTCATTCCTGGTTAACAGATAGTACCTCTTGATATCATGGAAGAACAAAATAAATAGATAAATAAATAAATAAAGCAATTAAGTAAGAGACTGGTAAGAGGCTACTATTCTAAAGTTCCAAAGCTTGAGGCAGCTAATTTCTCTAGAAACTTGTATATAATGCGTGAGTGTTGTAATGGTTGAACATACCTAATGAAAAGTGTGATAAAAGCAATCAATTGCATTATGTTTTGAGGACCTAAGTAAAGTAAGGGTTGTTAAAATATGAACAGTTTAGTTTCTCTCTTTTCTTCAACCTCTTTACACGTTATATTTTCAGTTTGAATTACACCAACTGATCTTCATATGTGAAGAATGTTCAGTTACATCAACACCTGAGTCAAGTGCTGTAACTACATACATAGTATATACGACATGAAACAAGTTATAAGTCCATAAAATTTATCAGGTACATTGAATGTGCAGAACTAATGTCAAGCTTAACCAACATTAATTCTAGAAGGAAGACAGTACAAAAAGTTTGATTATTAATTCGTTCAGCTACATCTACTTGAAGTATTTGTACATGTATTTGTACACTTTTGCTCATACAAAAGATAAACTAACTCTTACTCAATGACAGTGTAGCATGGAACCAGTCATTTTCTTTCATATCATATAAGTTGATGAATGACAGTAGTACAGAATTTAGATGTTTATTATTGGCTACACTCAAATAATTTTGGAAGAGGTACCAATTCCTAACAATTCCAGTCTTACATATTGCTAGGGCACAAGTATTAAAAGGATGATGACTATGTATTTCATTACAGTCCACCATAAAATAACAAAACCATTAAAAGGCTGAACCATACGGGCAGTAAATATAACATATAATAATGTATGATGAAACACAACAGCCAATTAAACATAGTTCATTTTAAGAATGATTACAATGGCCAAAAGAGAAGAAATTTCACAGCCACAACAGCTTCCAAAATTTTTCAGCCTCATATAATTCTCAAGAAAGACTAGATTGTCAGTGGAGACACAAAAAGAGCGAAACAAAATACTATTCTTGATTGATTAACCACATGGTTACTTACTGACAGAAGTCCAGTTTTGCTTACCACTTTGTAATTACAGCATAGCTTATAAATGCAATGAAAGGCATTTAAGAGGCTTCAGTGGGAGTCATCATTAATTTAGCAAGATCTTCAGAAAGGCGGAGAACCTTCTTAGTTATTTTTTTCTTAGAGTCTCTTTTGGAAACTCTAGATGATTTATTCTTTTTCTTCTTAAGAAAACCGTCTACAGGCTGCTTGAAATCTTTTGCACGAGCTTCTCTCTTGGCCTTTCGTTTTATCCTCTTTTCCCTGCGTTTCCATTTTTCAATCATCTCTCCATCTTCCTCTTCAATAAGCCCAGGTACACAGTCCCTTATCAGGTCACTTTCTTCAGCTTTTTTCTCTTCAACTCGTAGGCGTTTAGGCTTTTTCCTTCTTTCTTTCTTTGCCTTCTTCCTCTCCTCCACAACATCCTCAACCTCTGTAGTTTCAGTAGTAGCATCCTCTGAATGTTGTTCTTTTCTTCGTTTTTTCTTCTTCAGCTTCTTCTTTTTACATTTATGATGTTTACTAGATGTGTCAGCTTGAGAATCTGAGCCAATACTAACAACAGAGCTGAAGGAGGCTGCTAGTTCAGATTCTAGATGTGATGGTTTCCTCCTACTTAAATTTAAGCATGCCATATCATCTTTGGCTCTCAAGTTTACAACCTGTAAAAAAATTAAATTCATTATTAACAAAAAATATACAAGGATGATCGATTGTTCTTTGCTCTGAAGCTTGATGAGTAAAAATATACCTCTTTGGAATTATTGTTGCTGGAACCTATCTCAGTGAGTGATTCATATCCTCGAGATATGTCATCCTTCACGGGCACTAAGATACCAGATTTATTCATGACACATCTTTCTATTTTCCCTTCTTTGCTGGTCCATCCTTTGGTGGCAGCTCCACTTAGGACCCAATCTGACGACACTGCTGCAGCAGAAAGCTTCTGCATATCATCACTATCACTATCCTCACTGCTGGACTCACTGCCACTGTTAACAAAGACACAACTATTACCTTTAACACAATGAATTATCATCAAAATCTTATTATTTCTTGCAAAAAGTGACCACGGGATGTACATGATGAAAAGAAAAGAAAGACACAAACCTTGAAAAGCTAGCAAACTTGCGCCCTCTTTTTCTTCTCCGATTCAATGGGGGAGTTATATTCATGTTTGATAAAAAGACAGCTGAAGCCCCAAACAAGCGGACTCCTCCACTGTTGGATTCTTCTTCCGATTCCTTACACTTTCCTGCAGAGTTGTGTCTTTTTGGCTTCAAAATATGCCTCGATTGATCTTGCCCTTCTAATTTCTTTGTTGTTTCTTTAATTTTTTGGTCATTTCTAACACCAAAATCATTTATATCTAATTGACTGCAACAGAAAGATAGATAAAACCAAAACAACCCATTAAACGAGAAGATGTATAAACAGGGGAAAGAGAAAAATACCTGTCAAGAAGTTTAGTAAGATGCTTAGCAACATGTGACTGAAATTCTGGAGTCACACGAATTTCTTTGCGGAAGCTCTCATCTTCCTCTTCAATAATGCGTTGGGATGGTGGTACGACAGTTAAATTGTCCTCTTTCGACACTGAAACAAATGTATATTATGCTTCTTTGATTATTGGCGCTATTTTTTTCAAGGTACAAAATATGCGCACAAAGCTTTATTTTTTTTAGGTGTTGAATAATGTACAAATTCACTAGCTTCTGGAATAGGAAGACAACGCCCGATTTGAAAGTACATGAGTAAAGAAAACATAACTCAAGGATTCTTAGCACACTTCTTTAAGTTGATGTCTATGCACAATTAGCACCAGTCTCATGTGGAAAGTCTGTTTCCTACAGGTGGCTACAAAAAGACAATTAAACTGACAAAGTTCACCCTTAAAGAATTTGAAAATTTCCCTAAACGAGTTACAACAAGGGATCAACAGAAGAGGAAACAATGTTAGTACCTTGTCTTCCTTTATAAAGAGAATCATTGTAAAGTGTGGTGTCTGCCGCTTCTTGGAATTTCGACAAATCTTCCTCGGACGAAGAAGATGATGGCATGGTTGAACGGTAAAATTAATGACAAGCTGGTGTCCAGCTTTCACGCCACGACATATATTCAGTTCTATCGTATCATGAAACGGAAGATAGCCACTTCCAATGCACGAAAGGACAAAAAGTATAACCCCCGCAGTTTCGTTGTGTTGCGGACGCTGACCAGACCACCACACACACACACTACTTTACCAACTTTCTTTCGGGCTTTCGGCCCTCCGCTAGATGTCGCCCGTGTCGCCTCAATTCCAATATGAATCTTTCGTCACTGTGCTGTGACTAATTACGATTGCACTGATTGCGATTGGGGTGGGTGGGGTTGTTTTCGTCGAAGTCGAACTGTCACTGAGTGTTTTGCTTGGTGTGGCTCAGATAATTTTTAGACTTGCAATTCAAACTGTCAGGTGGTCTGAACAACTTTTCATTGACTTTTTCAATCCTCAAGTGACAATGCCTGTGAGTTCCTCTTTACATTCATTCAGTTTTGACTTATGTTGTTTGCAGGTTAGGAGTACTGTGCTAAGAACTGTTTGTTGTTTATATGAATTCTTAGTGATGGCTCTCAGCGGTCTCACTAAATCTGTATTAACAACTTTTTTTTTCAAAAAAATTCTCACATTCTGTTGTATTTTTTAAAATTGTAAGGCATACCATTCCACGCTACTGGACCACAATGCTGTAGTTGGGAACATGGCATTGCTCCCAATAAAAACCCAACATCGGGGTCCAGCCCCATCTTTTACTGGTGCTCCCACTGATATGGATGTCATTGATGAGGCACTTTATTACTTCAAGGCTAACGTTTTCTTTCGCACCTATGAAATTAAGGTAAAATCTGCGTTAGTTCATTGTGTCTGTATCTGTAGCTAGATATAAAAGTAAATCTCAGAACACTGTTAATTTACTTTGTGGTTTCAGAGTGAATCAGACAGGGTACTAATCTACCTAACTCTGTATATTACTGAGTGTCTCAAAAAACTTTCCAAATGCTCAAACAAAAATCAGGGCATGCAGGAAATGTACACTTTAGCTATATCTCGTTTCGACTTGCCTGGTGAAGCTGGTTTTCCCTTAAATTCTGTTTATGCTAAACCATCTAGCCCAAGTGAAGCAGGTATGATCAAACAAATTGTTGCAACGACAAATAGTTAGTTTTGAAATTTACTTTATTTTTGAAAATCTACCTCTTTCCAGATCTTATGAGACAGTATCTTATTCAACTAAGGCAAGAAACTGGAATGAGAGTGTGTGAGAAAGTCTTTGGCACAGAGGATGGAAAGCCCTCAAAATGGTGGCTTTGCTTTGCCAAGAAGAAATTCATGGATAAATCATTGAGTGGACCAGGTCAATAATGAGGCATGTACATAATTTGTACAAAGAGAGAATTTATTATTTTCCTCTTGATGGACTTGTGATGGAAATGCTGCTGTTAATCCACCTATGTTTTAACAGTTCAGTGTGTCAAGAGTGGTTTAAAAATTCAATAAAAAATCTATTATATTTGAAGATAACTTCTTTAAGCTCCTCAAAGGAGGTCAGAAATCTAAAAGTTATAATGTATTATTTTCCTACAGCTTTTCCTTGCCTAGAAACAAACAGAACTCTTAAGTTTCAATGTTCGTGAAGAGGAACTGTATTAGTGATACTCTCCTTAAAACTTACCTTTGATTTGCCAGCAAAACTAAATTCTGTACTGCAGTTATGGTTGAAGCTTCATTCTGACCAGTGACGAGATGACGATCAACCACCACATGAACTGCCCCACTTTCTCCACTGGCACTAAAAGACCCTCCTCTGTCCCTCACCTCATCTTCCACAATTACTGGTAAGGTACCAAAATTGGGACCACATGCTAATTCACACACTGTAGACTGTAAACAATAGGTTGGTGATTTAGATTAAAACACATTGTGTCACACTTTCAATTATTTTGAAACAATCATCTAGTAGCCAAGTATGAGCCGAACTTTTCAGGCCTGTTCTTTTTTTTAAAAGTGGCCTAATAATGGGTAATTGGCCCTCATTGTGTAGACCCCATAATATACCTTCTAAAGGGGAAGGGTAATCAACACAAACTTGTTGCGTAAATTCAGTTACAAATGGGCCCAAAATAATAGGATGCCAAAAAGAGTTCTGTTACACAAAAAGTACAAGGAGCAGTTTTATCCCCTCAAGCCTATAGGTATAAATAATCAAGCGCCATTTCAGCTTCCTAGCGAGCCTAAGCCCATGAAGGGCATAACATGATGTGTTTAGTTAGGGGTCTCTGTAATTAGAGTGAAATATAAAAACAAAAATTAAGCTACTTACTCCAGTCATTGAGTAGGATTTGAACAGCCAAGATGAATTTTTTTGTTTTTCAGATTGATAATCAATTGTTTGTTTCTGAGACTCTTTAGGGATGTCAACACAGGAAAGGAGGGCTGCCACACCAAGGCCAACAGCACAAACTAATTCTGCAAAATTAGGAAATAGTCATGGTTTTCACTTTGAAATAATCTCATCACAAGAGGAAGAATACAAAAAATTCCTACTTCGATCTTTGAGAAACTGAGCCAGAATTTCACCCAAAGTCGTGTTATTGGCAAGATCGTGAACAGCCCCAGGACAGTGGGGAACAATAAGGCACGAATAACGTTGAGCTGTAGATATTAATTAGAAATTAATGCATTATGAAAAACAAGTTTCTTGAGCTATATCATTCAAGAAAGTTTACCATCAATGACTTCTAGGCACAGTGGAACTGAAAATGGTTTGGTATTAAAATCACTTAACCAGCGACGACTTTGGTCATCTGTACTTGAAAATTCTGGCTGCTTCCCCTGAAACCAGAAAATTATTATTGGTCTCTGGTGCAGAGTCGAGTCAAGTCAAGTATCTGGAGGTAAATCAATTCACTCTTACGCCAGCTGTTGCTAGCTGAACATTAAAAGCTGTGTGAGTCATAGTAAAGCACTGGATGAATGACTGAGCAGATACACCTATAATATCGCAACAGAGAAAAAGGTATCAATGAGACTTTGTCAAATAAAGGCTTCATGTTTTTTTAAAATTTATTATTAATTAATTAATTTGACAGATATGGTTAGACTATGTTAGACTATGTTGTGTTCTTTTAACTAGAAAAATGGTAATGCCACTGACCTTCCCTGCTGAGAACAATCAAACAGTTGAGCTTTGCGTTGGATGTCATACTTCCAATAAATTTATTGGTTGTTGAACCAATAAAATCAAATACAGAGAGAAACTCTTCAGGCAGCACCAAAACATTTGACAAGTCCAGCCACCGACATCCGAACCCCCCAAACTCAAACTCGAAACGAAAACCGAACCGAAGCCCCGAAGAAGCCCGAAGCAAGCGAACTCGGCGAAGGCGAAAGGCGAGACGGAATCTGCCGAGTGCGGCTTTCTAAGCAGAAGCGCGCTCATTTTTAAACGGCTGAACGGCCTGAACGGCTGTGTTAAAGACAGAGACAGTACTTGCACAATAAGGCTTGCACTATTATACTTCTATACAAACCCATAAACCTACGCAACTTAATATTTTACGACTAGAAGACTGTTTACTAAAATATTTTAACTGCATTTGTGAGCAAATTTGGAATTAAAAACAAGCAAGTTTGGACAATCCTTTGCGCAGAGATAACTGCCTCTACTGATATAACTGGGAAAAGACGATTGTTTAACTTTTGGGGGGAGGAGGCTGTAGAAGGCGATCTATTCCAAATTAAACAAAGCGAAGTAAAATAGAATAGGAAAAGAGTCACGGCAGCTAGCTAGTTGTTTCGAATTTCGTGGGCAAAGGTACTACCAAGTCTACCAGCATACGCACACTCCACTTGACTACCGTAAATTGTCTATCACCGCTTATCGCACTTCCTCATCGGTGCTATTTGGAGTAAAAAGTAATATTATCTAGTCAAACAGAGGACTGTTTTTCATTTCAGGCCTATATTGGATGTGAACGATGATCAGTAATTGTATTCAAGTTTATGAGGTTTGTGTTACTTTACTTGTGCTTCCGTCATCAAGCTGTCAGCTGTCAAATGATTGTGCAAGGCGAGCCATCTTATTTTCTTTTCAATTTTAGATTGTAATGGTACATGTTTCCTTGTGGCTGGCTGAAACAGATAAACCGATAAACGTAGCAGCAAGACTCCAATTTATTAAGAATATCTGAAACATTTCTTTTGTGATGTGGAAGGCATTGTGTCATTCTAGGCAATGCGCTCTTCTTAAAAGCACAACAGTTGAGCCTGTGTTCCTTTTGTCAGGTACACATTTCACTTAAAGTGAGACAATCCAAACATTTATAAAAATACAAAACCAAATTATTGAGGTTTGGTTTCCAATAATTTTATACCTTTTCCAATGTAAATTGATTTTTGTTATGGCAATAATACTGTCAATTCTCAACTTTCAAACTTGTTATAATATTTTTCAGGATTTTTCTACACCATGGGGGAATCTCGACGCTGCCACTTGAAAGAAATAGAGCCAGAGGAATCACAGCTGAAAAAATCCATGGCAGAATGGCAGTTTGCACCTTCCTCGGTTCTGGAAAACAATCTTCCAATTGACTCAGATACAGAAACTTACATCTGCTCGAATGTGAAGGTGAAACCTATGAATCCTAATTGTACATTTCAAGTGTTATATTTTTGTCATTGAGTTTTAGATTTTTATTCCTCATTTTATTTCCAGGGTGTTATTTATTCCAGAGTGAAGCCATCACCATTAGTGAAAAATGTTAGGCTTGTTGCATATTCTAAAGATGTTTTAGTTAACATTTTAAATATGCATCCTAGTATTACTGAAACTGATGAATTTGTGAAATGGGTCGCTGGTAGTAATGTATTGAGCTCTTCCACCCCTTTGGCACACCGCTATGGGGGTCATCAGTTTGGGGCATGGGCAGGTCAATTGGGTGATGGACGTGCCATGTCATTAGGGGAACATATTTCACAGTAAGTCAATACTGCGAAAAACTCTTAACCCTCAATGTCATATAATTTTGCTTTAATTGAAAATGTCTTCAACTATTGTCAGTGATGGTAAACGCTGGGAGATTCAACTCAAAGGCAGCGGGCTTACTCCATACTCCCGTGGGGGTGATGGGCGTGCAGTTCTACGGTCTTCCATCAGGGAGTTCCTTTGTTCAGAAGCTATGCATGCTCTTGGTCAGTATAATTTAAACCCAGTCTCTATTTTCTAAAAGAATTGGAATATATTTCAAATAATTTAATTTGTTTTATTCTTTACTCAGGTATTCCTACTACTAGGGCTGCAGCAATAGTTGTAAGTGATGATGCTGTTATTCGTGATCAATTCTATGATGGAAGACCAGAAGTGGAGAAAGCCTCAGTTGTAATGCGAATTGCCCCATCTTTTTTGCGCTTTGGTTCATTAGAAATATTATCCAAAAATATTGAGCTATCTGAATTGAGAAGATTACTCAACTACATAATACAGGTACCCAGTCAGAAATTATATGTTTAGCTTTTGAATACCATAATATCTATTAACCATCATTCTTTAAAATACTCAGTTACGTCCTGACATAACAGAATGTGGGGATCAGAAATACTTTGTCTTACTTGAACAAATAATCCAAGAGAGCATCAACCTGGTTGTAGCATGGGCTAGTTTTGGGTAACTATCACATCAAGTTTTACTTCCATTATTTATTTATTTATTATCATATTTTTATTGATTACTTCCTTCTAGGTTTACTCATGGTGTACTAAACACAGATAACATGAGTATGTTTGGGGTAACCATCGACTATGGACCATTTGGATTCTTAGAGAAATTTGATCGAAACTATATTTGCAATTCTTCTGACAGTACTGGGCGTTATGCATTCTGTGACCAGTTGCCGGTAATTTATCTTCTGTTTTCCTGAATTTCCTGCGTGTTTCTTCCTTCTTCACAATTTTGAAAGATATCATCTAATTTTAGGTTGTGCAATGGAATTTGACAAAACTTTATATGGCAGTAAAAGTTTTACTATCAGAACCAGAACAGAAAAGAATAGAAGTGCTGCTAAGAAATGCTGTGGCAGCTGGAGAGGCACAATATGCAATGGCTTTTAATGAAAAATTGGGTTTTATCACAAACCCAAATATTACACCACAACTATCTCGTTTTCTCATTGAAATGATGGAAGAAACTGGAAGTGATTTCACTATGACATTTAGACAACTAGGATTTGTTACTATTGATGAAATGGCAGATGCCAAGGCCCTTGAAAAACACTGGTCTCTTAATATTTTGAGTAAACATTCAAAATATCTTGAATTTGTCTCTCTTTACAAACAGTGTATGGCTGTGGAAGGTTTGTACTGCTTTCTTTAATCTAAATTAATAATTTATCATAGGGTCAATTTTTGGTTTTCAGTGTTTGCTTTTTTCTTGAAGGTTTAAGTGATGAACAGCGACGCAGTAACATGATGACCAAGAATCCTCAATATGTTTTACGAAATTGGATGGCACAGCAAGCTATCAAGCAAGCTGATCAAAATGACTTTAGTGGTGTGAACTTCCTCCTAGAAATACTCAGCAAGCCTTTTACCATTAATGAAGAAGCTGAAAAAAAAGGATTTTCTGGTCCAACTCCTGCTTGGGCTGACTGTATACGAGTAAGCTGCTCAAGCTAAATTCTGTGGAGATTTGGTTTTTTCTTCGGCTGTGCAATGGAATGCTACTTCAGGCCTTTTTTTTCTTAAACCATTATGTTAAGTTTTTCATGTAATGTTTTAAAAGTAGTGTTATCTTATTTTAAAGCCTTTACTAAGATACCTGGTACTTTTAAGTGTGGAAAGTACTGAGTAGTTTTAACATTCCACTGTGATTCCGTTTTCAGAAACTTCAATGAACTTTACATCTGTAATGCACTTTCTAGATAAAATTGTCATGAAATAATGATTTTCTTGTCTGGTACACTGTTGTACACCTTATGGATAAAGTTGTAATGGAAATTGTGGTTTTTGAAATCAAATTCTGCTTGTTAACTGTGATTGATGCTTGTTAACTGTGCATGGTAAATTATTCTAGTCTTCAGTGAACCAAAACAAAAACTATCTTACATCAAAATTTTTGCTTTATCTTCACCTTTATTCCTATAACTTAAATACATATTGGATTAGAGCAACTCCCCTCCTTGAGTCATGAGTGACTCAGATCTTGCCTTGAAGCCTGATCAATAGAAAGATAGCCACACTCAGTATCTTCTAACAACTTTCAAAGGAAGGGATCATAAATTCTCTTTAAACTACCTACAATTAATTAAATCTTATAGAAAAGAAGCGCGGTTCAGGTACGTCAGTGACGCATGTAATAATCTATAACTGTTGAAAAGGCAGCGAATCCTGCAGCACCAAAGAGACCAGCTTTCAGCCCAGCTGGAAAAAAACACATTCATTATGTAAACTACTTTGACGACAGAAAGGGAAACATATGTAAGCCCACAAAGTTCCAGCAAAGCAGAAGAACCATAGGTTCTACAACGTACAAGCTTTGCCCACGACACTTTAGCTGACTACAGCTAAAAACTTGACATTTATTAACCTAACAAATTACCTCTAATACCAATTAATCCTCCTGTTACCCCTCCAGCATAGGTACCATTTTTCCAATCGGTTGTTCCGCGTGCCTGTAAAACAAGGATACTACAATACTTAAGAGAGAACAAGGCCATGTCAGCAAGAGATTAAATGTCATTTGTTTGAGAATTTGATCATACCGATTCAATAACACACTCAACTGCAGCAAAAACACCTCCAACCATTGCAAAATTTTTGGCATAACTTAAAGTAGTGGATTTCATGTCTCGGAAAACTTCCCTAGCAGTTTGTGTTGGAGCATCAGGAAGAGTTACTGGAGGATTAACACCTGCAGTGAATAAGCCAAATGCTGCACCAATGCCATATCCTGGAATGACATGAGAAGGCATGATAAGCTTTATTTAAGGCCACATCTGAGTACACTTAAATTAATCATCGGTCTGATAGATAGAAATTTAAAACTAAAAGAAATTTGGGGGAAAGACTAACCTAGGACCGTGCTTAAAGCTGACTTAAAGACACAACTTTCGAAAAAGGCTTCCACCATTTTTTCTTCATCTGTTTTTATTTTTACTGGTCCTGCTGTTCGTGGAATAATTATGTTTTCCCTTTGCCTTGGGCCATTTCCCACAAAATACCGGGCTACTGCGTCCCATTCTTCTGGTGTAAAAGTAACACGCTTTCTGCTAGAATCATCCATTTTTCCTGTTTACAATCTGGCCTGTGCCTTGCTGATTGGTTACAGCCGCCACAAACGCACAGCCATTTATTAATCGCGTTCTTATGAAGTATTTAAGTTTCTTATTTGTTTTCTTTTTCTTTCACACATTACATCCCGAAATAACTGTGAATTTCGTAGAAGAGTGATCTTTAATTGGGCTTACCTTCTCTACACGGAAACAAGAAATCACTTACTAACGTTGAAAACGTGAAAAACGAGAATACAAGCTGTTTTTTTGTTGTTTTTTTTTAGCCGCATCCCACCAAGACCCCACGGACCAATCAGAACACAGTTAGATTCAAATACGCCAAACTGGCGCGGCGCAGCAAAGGAGGAAAGACCGGGCTAAGCTAGTGTAACGGTTGGGGTTGGCGTGAACTGAGATACTTAGTTGGGATTATTAATATTTTCAAGGGAAGAATAGGTATCATTTTAGTGCCATGAAGTCCCCAAGATGTGTGGAGTCGCTGGACGCAGAAACGTAAGTGCTGCTTCTGTGGAAATTGATTTTCGGAATCGCCAATACTTTCTGTTCTGAGGCCTATTTTCGACCTTATAACGTGCATTTTGTTAATATTTTGCTTCGATACTTTTACGAAATAATATCTTTTTTTTTTTTTTCGTAAGATTATCATTTTCTCTTCACGTTAGTTGTGTCCAGTTTTAACAAGTCTTAATTAAACAAAATTAAGTTCTGGTCTACCCTTGTGTTTCCGTCTATGACAAATGAATTTCTGATGTTCAAAGTTGTGATTGGTTACTGTACATACTTTCAACAGGTTAGCTGTGTCCAACGATCTCCACAAAATGCAACTTAATGCTTTAAGAGAGCTGTTATCAATTTGGAGAGACATGGGTATCCATGGCGAAGCTAAGGATTCTAGACTTAAATCTGTTAGTTCCCATGTTTCGGTGAGTGACGTAAAAAACCTGGCGTTTTGTGTATGTTGTACCAAACTTATCCTTTTGCGAGTGCCTCTGACACCTTGTCTAAGATAGCCTGACTTTACAGCGGCTTCTGCAAGATATGGTTGAGGAGGAAAAAAATAACAAGTTGATGCTCGTTCAAAGAATAACACAGTATTGGAAAGATATCCGTAAGCTTGGCAAGGTTTGTTTTCTTATACCGATTTCCAACTCTTTTATTTATTTGATCAGTTCTTAGAAAATTTTCACATGCTAATACATTTTACACAGGAGTTGTCAGGGGAGACCATGAATATCCCAGAAGAACAATTAGATAGTACACCATTGTATCAAGTAGAGAAACGCCTTGCAGAGAAGTGGACAGGGATGCTGAAAGTAAAAGAAGAAAGAGTTGAACAGCTGGAAGATTTGCAAAAGAGGGTAATTTTATTTGATACTTGTTTTTCTATGATCAACTGTTCTTTTAGACTATAAGACTCATGCACATGTATTTGTAACTCTGCCCAGCTGGATGATGTCTGGTACAAACTTGGCAAGAAGGATTTGTCACCTTTCACTGGAGGAATCACGGAATTTGAAATTGAGGCACTTAAGTGCCGTGTACAACTGCTTGAGCAAGAAAGAGTAAGTGATACACACAACTCCTCCTGGTCTGTTTGGATCCGTTAACTATGTGCTTCACATAGTTGGCATAGGTTATTTATTTTTCTTAATAATTGTTTAAATTTTCAGGACCGTCTACAGACAGTCTTTGATGAAACAAGAAATGCAATTCAACAGATATTCAATGACTTGGATATGATGCCAACATTTCCATTTGATAAGATGGTTTTATGTGAGCCCAGTTCTTTCCTTTTTGATCATAAAAATATGGTTGATCTTAAGGTATATGGATTTTTTAATATATTTTTTTATACATCTCTTGGAAAGTGTAACACACATGCATTGCCTATTTTAACTTTTCTCTTAATTTGCAATTAATTTTGCCACCAGAAACTACATCAAAAAATGGAACAGAAGCTGTCTGACTCTAGAGATTCTGCTACTGAATTGCGTGAGAGATTGAGCAATCTGTGGGAGAGACTGCAAATCAGTAGTGAATATAGAGAAACGTTTTTGAATGCTCATCGAGGCTATTCTCATCCAACTCTATGTGCAGTATGTCAATCTCCGTTTTCCTTTTCTGTAATTTTAACTTGTTATTAGACTAATCCCCCTTTTTATGATTAGTTAAAGGAGGAACTTAAACGATGTGAAGCTCTTAAAAAGGCAAATATTGAGAACTTTGTCTGTCAACTCAGAGAAGAAATTGTTTCTTGGTGGGAACGTTGTTACTTCTCTGACCAGCAGAAAAATAAATTCCAAGCATTCTATTACACTGACTTTAATGAAGATGTGTTGGAATTACATGAACTTGAAGTCAACAAATTGAAGACCTATTATGAAAAAAACAGGCAAGTGCTCAATTCCTTGCCACTGATTTTAATGATGAAGCTTTATTTTTAATGCTGTGATAATTCCACTTCCAGGGATATATTTCAATTAGCTGATCAACGCAGTGAGCTTTGGGTAAAGATGCAGCAGTTAGAAGCCCGGGCCAATGACCCCAACCGTCTATTCAATAACAGGGGTGGTCAACTTCTTCGTGAAGAAAGGGAAAGGAATGTTCTTGCTAAGGTAATATTCAAATGATAAGTTTTATCTATTTGTATTCCAGTTTTTTCACCCCCTCCTTTGTTTCTAGACCTTGCCAAAGATTGAGGCAGAATTAAAGGATAGGCTACTTGTCTATCAGCAAGAAAATTCAACCCCTTTTTTGATTAATGGTGAAAACCTTCTTGACACTATCGAACAACAAAACAATGAAAGGCTGGGCATGAAAGAGTTGCAAAAGCAACTCAAGGTAATTATATCCTGATATACCCATGTTGTAAGGTTTTCTTATCTCTAGATGTGTTTTAATCTAATCATTTTAGAAAGTGACACGAAACAACCAACTTGAAATTGAATCCAAGTTGGGGTCCAAACCAGTTACACCAACATCAGTCAAGCGTGGAAGGTTGGGTCCTTCTACTCCAAGCGTATGTACATGAGATGGATTTGTTTTGAAAAACCTTTATATTTCAAAGTTGAATGTTTATGAAGTGTGAATTTCACTCATTCTGTAGATGCTAGGAGTCAGTCACAAGACATTATCATTGGCAGCGCGCAGTGCTCCGCCGAAGACAGAAGGTGTAACATTGAAGCGGAAAGCCGGCAATTCTCCAAATCCTAATGTAAGCAAAAAGTCTAAAGGGGGAATGAAGTCAAGCGAGAAGAAGGCTTCACGATCTGGAAACAAGTCAGGTCCCCGCTACAGTACATCTAAAATTCGGCGCTACGGGAAGGTTTGTCCCACCCAAAATTTGAAATTGAGTTTGGTGGCTTGGTTTTGTTTTTAATTTTAAATGCGCTTTTTGAGTCGTAACTTTATTTTTGATTAAATTTCTACTAAATTTGTTTTGGTGCACCTTGAGTTGTAATGTGTTTAGTTCACACAATAAGTTGTCTAATGATGTATTAAGGTAACACACACATTTTAATAAGGTTTAGTCAAATCATGTTGAGACTATCAGTTAGTTTTTAACCAGATCTTTTGTATTACCTAAATGCACTGGATAAAGTCTGTATGAGTAATTGAAATATCTCATAACAGAAGATCACATTGGATCCACATGATTGGTATTTTACATTGATGCACAGTACATTTGGGTTTTCTTTGCTGTCTTTCACTCTCCTTTAGTTGCTTGTGCATGCTAATACACGTTAAAGTACAAATTGCAAATTTGTAATGCCATGGTATTAAATGCATGGAATGTCATGGCTATTGAGTCGAATTTTCAGTCAGTTTTTGAATACTGACTATTTGAAATGCTTTACTAGCGCTATTCCTTGCATTGCTTTGTATTGATTTTCCACTGTCTTCTGTATATTTACTGTAACAGTCCCATGTGATAAATGTTAATTATTTGTGTACTTTCAGGTACCCTCTAGGACACAGGAATCAAACTCCAAAACAAGGCGTAACATTATGTCACATTTGCCCTCCGACAATTTAAGCATTGCTTCCGGCATTGGTCCATACAGTGAATTTCAGGTTTGTCTTATTTGATCATTAACCTTCTATCTATCTCCCATTCTGCTTTAAGGGGACTAGTGAGGTTAGATTTCTTGAATTGTCCAGAAAAAAGCTCTACAAAAAGTATTCTTTGATCTAATTTAGGCTGGCTCTATAATCAACAGCAGCATAATGCCAAGCTGTTCCCTGACTGGTTAGTACTCTTCCCAATCGCAGGGTTTGGAGTCTTAAATTTGGGATAGTTCTGTAGAGTAGGTAGTTTAGGAATATGTATCTCTTTCATGGTTACTTCGCTAGTTAACGTTAAAAATACTAATAAGGAATCTGACTCATTCTTACATTGTGTTAGTACTCTCTTAAATCAACAAATGATTACACATCTTTTGGAAATTTAATGAATTGCCAGTTCTATTGGGTAGCTCATTGGGTTATTTGGGTAGGTTCTTGCATGAAACTTTTGATAAATCTATTACATCATTTGGTTTTCGTCATCTTTGTATTGACTCAACTCACTGTATAGTTTTACTAGAATCACATATGGGCAATGGATTTTCCATATTTGTGAGGAGATAATTACTCAAATCATCATTCAAGTTTTTAATTTGTTTCAGAATCAGCTAGAGCTAATGAGTGTGGAGAAGGCCTGTCGGAGCTCTGTTGTTGGGAAAAATTGTCTCCGGGAGTTGAACACACCTGTACAGACACCATCTAGTGTGTCTTCCACAACAAAATTGACACTTACACCTGGAAGAATCACAACAGCTACCCATCTTACTGTTAAGCCAGCAACTTCATTCACAGTTACTCCTATGAAGCCTCCACGACGGAATGGTGCTTTTGCCACCCCTACTCCTACTCAAGTGAGAAGGACCAGCACTCGTTTGAATCTGAAAAGTCCAAATGTTAAATCACCTGCACCTGGCAATAGTGCCAGACTCACCACTCCCAGAAGTAGGCTTCCAATAGTTTTCTAGGTGTACTTACATTTTTTAATATTTTTTTATTGCAGTTTGAGATTTATTAGATGTATATGCCATTAATTTGTGATGGATAGTGATAAACTAATTGTGTATTGGGTGATGGAAACAAATACTTCAGTATTTTTATGTTAAATCATTCCTAAAATGTGAAATGTTATTCATAATAACATCGTTTATATTCTTATTTTTATTAGACTTGTACAAATACTTTTAGAACCCTATGTTTAATTGTGATTTACATATGAATGAACCAGTGTTTTAAAATTTATGTCTGCTGAAAGCACTGTGTAATGTATGTTGAAAATGTATTGTTTTATTATTAACATAGTATTTTAAACATGTAACCAAGTAGTGTTTTTGTTTCACTTAGCTTTGTTTCTCATCTGTCTGAGGCAAAATTTGCTTATGTATTCACTGCTCCTTTGAAGTATGCTAAACGTTTCAGTTACCATGTTGTATAGTAATTACTGCATTGTGCCTTATGTTTTATTATTTTTGTTTAATTCCAATAAAAGAAAGTAATTACAGTTCAGATATTCTATTTTTGTTGTATTTAAGTAGCATCTCAAAGTGCTTAAATTAACTAGTGCTTACTGACCAGAAGACTTAATTAATTTTCTCAAAGCACTTTCATGTTATCTACATTTTTACACTCCTTTTCAGTTTCGTCTGTATTATTTGTACTAGATTGGGTACTGGGGAGTAGTAAATACTCTGCTGACAATTCAGTTTGCACTCTCCATGCTCACACCGTTCAGTACTTTGCACCTACCCTCCCACCTCCCCACGAGAGTCAGATTGGTCGTGGTTGCGGTGAGGGTAGTCAAGTGAAGACTCTTGCAGCAATATAGCAGATGGCTAGAGTAAGAATTGATTCTCTATTGGAGAACAGGGCACTCGAGTCACTGCGGATTCGGCTGTACGCCTCACTGCCCGGCCCCACGAAGGGCTGTAAATTGGTTCGGTTGTAGTTCTCGTAATACCAGTTGTGCGTTTCACGGGATATCTGTGGAGCAAAAGCAGACATATTACAATGATGTGGTCCGAGTTGCCGCCAAGCTCTTCTCGTGTCGGCTCGCTCCTCACCTGCTTCTGAGGGCTGTCGCCTGCTGGACCGGGAGCCTCTGCGTAGTAGTAATGCGGGCCCTTGGCCGAGCGCGGGATGGGTCCTGACTGCGGGTCGTCGAGAGCGGGCCCGGGTGCGGGCCCCGGGCCCAGTCCAGCCAGCCCCGCTCCGGCACCCGAGGACGACATGGACACCCTAGTGACGGTGGAGCGCGAGTGGGATTGCAGGTGCGTCTCCGGGATGCCCGGAAGCTGGCCACCGGGCGCGAGGAGTGCCGATAACGCCGACCCGGGGCGCTCGTGGTAAGGCGACGCTGTCGTCCAGTCTGGAACACCCAATGGATACGGCTCAGCAATTGCGTGTCTCTGGATGGGGGGGTCCTCACTAGGTGCGGAAGGAAGCGCGGGGACACTTACCGTAAACTTCGTCCTCCGTCGTTGTGGAGAGCGTGGACGCCGCGATGTCGCCCAGGGAAGTTTCCAGGCTGGAGGGTGTCCGCCCCGAGTGCGCCAGTTCTCCGAGGTTGTAGATCACGGCCTGCTCCACCTGCGGACAGCCACACCGGCAGCCGTCGACGTCATCACCCGAAAAGTTTCTCCAGCCCCACCCCTTCCGCATCCGCATCCCAGTCGCAATCGACATCGCATGAACGCCGCTCGAGCGTGCGAATAGTAATCATGAAGTTAATTCCGCTCTTAAGCAGCAGAGTTAGGATACAGGGCGAATGACCCCCCCCCCATAAATTTGTTCTATAGTACCGGATTCAGGCGCGCGAGCGGGCTTGCCTACCGGCGCTCGCCTTGGCGCCTTACGGCCCCGTGCGAGTATACAACCCGTCCGCACGCAAGAATTTGGTACAGGATACCCCCCCTCCCAAATGTATTTCAGAATGAAGATAGTGGTGAATCGATCAGGAGAAGGAGTCAGAAAGAATAAATTTAGAAGAGGACAGTTGGCGTCGCTTTCGACAGACATGTATTGAGTCGTGCATAGAAACATCATTGAAAAGTAAGAAACAGAAAAACATACATCAAGTCCGGAAGGCAGAGGCACAGTAGCAGGATAGTAGTAGTCAGTTTTAGAAGAAAAGGTTGGAGAGACCCCTCTTTAGGGTGAGCGCCGCACTGTAGAGTTCTACCTCGACGGCCGGGTCGGTGGTGGTGGTTGCGGCTGCAGCGGGCAGCAGGGTACTGACGGTGGTTGCCGCCGTGGAGGTGGAGGCCGCGGTCGAGGCCTCCACCCTGGCCACGGTCGCGTGCGTCTTGCCGTGGTGCTGCTGGCCAAAGCCAGGTGGCCGCGTCGGGAAGGTCGACGACAGCCTCTCCCTGGAAGACGTCTCCCGCGAGGACGACGACGACTCGCGCGAGGAGTCTCGCGGCAGTTCACGTAGCGGCGCCGAGCCCCGGGGGATGGCGTCGTTGTCCTGGACGGAGACCACAGTGACGAAGCCTGGCGTGAGGCCTCCTGGGCAGAGGGAACGCCCATTGAAGCTCGGCCTGACAGGGAGACATCTCAACCTGGTCGTTGTAAAGTACTCACCCTCCCCGGGCCTCCGCTGGTACGAGGTCCTGACGCGGAGGTTCTCCTCGCTGCTGTGGTGTTGCTTGATCCGCTCCTCGTGTCCGTCGCGGAAGTTGTAGTTCTCCGTGACCACGACGGGCCCCGACGTGGAGGTGGGCACGAGTCCCACAGACGGGAAGTGCCTGTTGCCCGAGGCGATGTCCAGCTGCTGCCGGAAAATGTCCAGCTGCGGCGCGGCTGTCGGACCCAAGGGGCCGACGGGGGTGAAGCCCCCCGGGCCGGGCACGATGGGGCGGAAGCCCCCACTGACCGGGGACACCCGCACTACCGAAGCAGTGGCAACTGGGGCTCCCGTCGTCGGGGGCGCGCCCGGCGTCCCGTCCCTGGCCGTGACCGTCGCGTTCTGTGGGCGTTCAAGTTAAATTAGCTCAACTGTCCTGCTGAACGCCGTCGTAAAGAATTCGCCGCGCCCCTCGGAGAGAATCATTTACCTCCAGTTCTCCCGCCCGGGATGACACCGGTTTGCCATCAGTGTCCCTGGCGTGGCCAAATATCCCGCCAATGTTGAGGGACGGCATCTTGAGCGGAATACCGAAGAAGGTCAGTCCCCCGGGAGCGGCCGACCCTGCGGCCCCGGGGGGCATGCGCTTGGGGTCGTCGGCAGGGGTCATGCCCGGGCCCAGGCCGACGCCCGGAGGCCGGAGCTTGTTCCTGGTGCCGGCGTACAGGGTCGGGGTGTCGCCGGTGATGTAGTGCGAGCTCGTGGCGGGGCCGGCCGGGGCGGCCATGGCCGGTGTCGAGTGGCTGCCTACGGCCGTGGCAGTGGCGGGTGGCGTCGCCGTGACGGCCGCCGTGTGCAACGACGCTGTCTGACCCGGAGTCACTGAGTTGGGCGTCGCCACCAGCGAAGCGTTGTTCAACGCCGTCGCGTTCTCATCGACCTGCAACGAAATGTCGTTTAGATTCGTGTACTGCGCGCGTCTTGAAGGTCTACGACGCGGGGGCACGTCGCTTCACGGCTCTCCTCACCGGAACGTCCACGTATTCGTCGTAGAAGTACTCGGACTCCTCCGGCGAGGGCGCCACGTTCTGCTGCGGGGCTTGTGTCGAGCCGCGCACCTCCAGGGCCGTGGACACGATCTGCGACGTGCCGATCACTGAAACACGATGAGACAATGAGCTTCCCTGCCCTACTCGCCTCAGCTTCAGCCAGGTGCCTCGTCCTCCCTAACCGTTGGTGGGCGGCAGGTCGATAATCTCGGCGTCGCAGGCGGGGTTGTGGTGCTGCTGGCGCGCCGTGAGAGGGGCGGACTTGGCGGCCGCGTCGCACTCGGCGCGCGAGACGCGGATCTCCTTGACGAGCGAGCCGTCCGCGCAGCGCGGGCCGTCGTGGGCGGCCTGCGGGGCTTGCGCACCGGGCGCGCCCTGCTCCGTCTCCAGCAGCCAGGAATGCAGCCACAGTAGGTCGCACGAGCACGACAGCGGGTTACCTGGGCAGCGTCGCGTCGTCGAGAGTTAGTACACACACTTTTGCATCATCACTAAGAAGGGAATTCCCGCCGCCTTACCGTTCAATTGCAGCTGGGCCACGTTGTGCTTGAGGCGCTGGAAGGTGTTCTCGGGCAGGGAGGTCATCTTGTTGTTGTTAAGGCTGAGCACGCGCAAGCGGGGCATGTTGTTGAAGGGCACGCCCTGGATGTTGCAGATGCGGTTGTTGTCCATCTGCGGGGACGGTCGTACGCGCGTTAGAAATGTCAGGTGGCTGGGGGGTCGGTGCTGCGGGACGCAGCGTACGCACCTTGAGCTCGACGAGCCACTCCATGGAGTCCAGCGTCTCCGCCGCCACCCTCGACACGCGATTGTGCGACAGGTCCAGCACTTCCAGCGAGCGCAGCTGCTGGAGGCCGGCGTTCTCCAGCGCAGAGATCTGGTTGTA